ATCACTATGTATATATACACATATTTAGATTTGTATATAATATTGAAACATCTAGTAAAAAACTGTATTTTTATTTATACATAAATATAAAGTCACAAACACACGCACACACACGCACACACACACGCACACACACACACACACACGCACACACACTCACACACACACACACACGCGCGCACACACTCACACACACGCACGCTCACATATACACCTATATATATATATAAATATATATATGTGTGTGTGCATCCATACTCATATATAGATATAAATATGTATATACACATATATATATATACATATATATATATATATATGTATGTATCGATATATACATCTGTCTATATATACACATATATGTATGTATGTATGTATGTATGTATGCATAAATGTATGCATGCGTGTAATCATGTATGTATGCATGCATTCATTTATGTATGTATGTATATATGTATGTGTTTATGCTGGGATGTATAGATTTTGTATTGATGTATGGTTTTATGGATGCATGTATTTATGTATCTATCTATCTACATACATGTATGTGTTTTATGTGTATGTATGTATATACACTTGTGCTATATCCCTTTTGATTAGCTATATAGTTTCCGTGCCATGCATATTTGTAGCCATTCCTTTCTTTTGGCATTGTATTTCTATGACATCTAGGTTTATTCCACTGTTGCCGTGTTTGCTCGTGAGGTGAAATGTGTACTCTTCACCGTCGCATATCATTCTCTGCATTAGGGTTTTAGCTTAAAACCCTAAAAACCCTAAACCCTATACAGCGATCCCATCGATATCGGCACTCTTATATAGTTGTATATCTCCGGAAATCGGTGTATACGTATCAAAATAACAAAACAACTGAGACCATCCGTTTTAACGACCTTCTCTTACCACTGTACACACTGTATCACCCTTTCAGATGACCATTGGCTGGAGCGGTCAGACATGAATCTGGGTTACTACCGTGGCAACTACACATATATAGGGCTCTCCATCATAGTCATTGCCGCGCTATCGAGCCCTATTTTCTATGTGATCTACGCGTTGTTTTTCTTCGCCTTGCAACGGATCAAGTCTCAGCCAGAGATATGTATAGGCGAGCTGCACCTAGACCGACCGCAGGTGTGTTTGTTGTTATGTGTGTAGGTGTGTTCGTTGTTATGCGTGTAGGTGTGTTTGCTGTTTTGCGTGTAGGTGTGTTTGTTGTTTTGCGTGTAGGTGTGTTTGTTGTTATGCGTGTAGGTGTGTTTGTTGTTATGCGTGTAGGTGTGTTTGTTGTTATGCGTGTAGGTGTGCTCTGGTGACATCTCGCACGCCCAATGCTTCCGTTCGCATGCGTGGCTCCAGCAATTTCTATGTAGTGCATTTGTAAGCACAGGCTGTCTCGTGACGTATGTGGTTTCAAAGAGCACCTGCGGTAACCTATGTTTGTGTCTGCAGTGGCGGAAGTACTGTACCACCACACGTGCCTGTGTCACACACCATCGTACACGACACCAACCTCACGCTGCCTATCTAAACCCTAAAAACCCTAATGTCCCCATCCCTTGTGCTCAGGCGGGGCTGTTGCTGGTGGTGGTGACTCTGTTTCTGCTGCTGGTCTTTGGCGGTGAGACCTTCTTCAAGGCCATTCTGCTGTCGCTGGTGCTGGCGTTGCTGCACGCGACCTTTCACAAACGGCCCGTGCACGCCAAAGTGGCGTCGTTCTGGAATGATCTGTGGGGGACTGAGGAGACCAATCCCGTGGAAGACCTGGTGTCCGAGTCCGAGGGCATGGTGTCCAATATGATGGACCGGGTGTACAAGTATTTGGACGCCTCTGGCCCTGATTCTACCCGGCCACAACCCCCGGCGTACGTGGATGTGACAGGCAACGGACAGGCACGCAGCGCTGCGTATAAGCAGCCGCCATCCCCGCGCGTAGCTGTGCCTGTGGGGCAGCGTACCCGAGCAGCAACAGACAGTGATGTCAATGGCAGTAGTAAGATACCACACAAGGACAGCCCCAGCGCCACACTCGGCAGGTCCAACAGTGTGAAAAGATTCACCAAGACAGCCACGTACACACGGCCTGTCAGCAGTGTCGGCAACAGTGTCAGGAGTGCG